GGGGAATCCAGCCCCTCCCCTGTCACGGCAGAGAGCCGTGACAGGATCGAGAGGTGAGCGAACGCCGGTATGTGTTCGCTCACCTCCCGATCTACTGAGCCGACCTGTGACAGTCTCATGTCGGCTAGAACTATGAGGTGAGTGAAAAGCGCTCACCTCATAGTTCTCCTTTAACTGTATCTGGAGAGTATAAAGTGAACGCTCTGTTCACGTCTCCGTACAGCAGCACTTTACATTGCGCTGTGGTGACCCCCGCTGCAGTGCGCTATAGATAAATGCAGCATGCCCCGTGTTGTGGTGTGAATGGGGCACATAGAAAACAAAAGGTTTATACATGCCCTAGTGGTTACCGTGTGGTACGACTCCTGTCACCGCCTATAGTGTGAATGGGCCCTTAGGTTTACCCTAATTAACTCCTTCTTCCCCTTAACTATTTTTCTGATGTATTTCAATTTTTCTAACCATTAATATTCATATTTTTTCTCCCCCATTTGCTTCAATTTTTTTCTCCCCCATTTGCTTCAATTTTTTTCTCCCCCATTTGCTTCAATTTTTTTCTCCCCCATTTGCTTCAATTTTTTTCTCACCCATTTGCTTCAATTTTTTTCTCACCCATTTGCTTTTTTTTTTTTTTTCTGCATTTTCTTTTATTCCCCATTTCCTTTTTCCCAATTTAATTTTTTTTACAGTTTGTTTAATTTTTGTTTCAATTTTTCAGTTTAATTTATTTTCTACTGGTCAATAACTTTGCAATGCTTTGCACCCCAATCAAAAATGTTCGTGTCCTTTTCCACGTTTTCCAGTTTAATTTTTGTTCCGATTTGAATTTCGTTTCCCTTCTGTTCAATTTTTTTTCCAGTTTATTTTTTTCCCCCAATTAAATTTTTGCTCCCATTTTAATTTTGTTTACAGTTTAATTTTTGTTCCGATTTGGATTTTGTTCCCAGTTGAAATATTTTGTTTCCCTCCTGTTCAATGTTGTTTTTTCTTCAGTTTAATCCATCTCCTTTGTAAATAACTTGGCAATGCTTTGCACCCGAATAAAAATAAAGGTTAGTGTCCTTTTCCACAAAATACATTTTTAGAAAAAAAAAAATAGATTTTTTTTTTAATCTAGAGTAACAATGTTTTCAAGCACTCAATATATCCCAAACAGTTCAAATCCCAATTTTTTACGCCACTTAGCTGCCAGGCAATTTGTTCGCCAAGCCCTTAACCAACATGGTTTTTTTTTAGTCTATGAAAAAAAATTTTTTTTTTGCAAGACGATATTACCAGACATAAAAAAAATGGGTAGTTCTCGATCCTTTTCTGTTTAAAAATTAAATACATAAAATAAATCCATGTGTGAGCAGTTTAGGTCAGCTGGTATATTTATTTTAAGATATTTATGGCACAATGCAGAATGTTTTGTTTTTTTTAAACATCTGTTCTGTACATTTTAGGGTCTTTACAAGCGTTTAACGTTCATACAGGAGGCCTACTGAAAGACATGTCTGTCTAAGCAAAGAGCAAAAGAATGAAAACCACATTAGACCAGAATAAAAAAAGAAATCCGGGCTGATGAAGCAATTCGAAAAATGTTTAAATGCGCAAGTGCGCCCTCTGGTGTACTGCAAACACTACTACATGAGTAACAAAATACTAAGTAACCACATAATCAGGACTGTTGCATTATGGGGCAGCTCGTGACATTTATTGGAGTTTTAATTTCAGCTGATTACCTATCACTGACAAAGATTACCAGTAACTCAGTGTTCTGGTATGTCACAGAATGAATGATACCATTATATATATATATATTTTTTTTTTTCTT